CCATTGCAGTCAACTATCATTGTTGACTGCATCTGTCACTGACAAGAGAACCCAGATATATTCAATAGTGCCCCTCTTACCGTTCATATATTCATCAACTGTAATAACTGTTTTTATCAAAAGCTTCCCACCTCATCTGCTTTTCTTTTTCTCAACTACTTTGGGTTTTTCTTTCTGTTTTTTTTTTTTTCATCATCAAGACAGACTGAGGGTTCTTTTCCTGCTCAAACTTAGACATTTGATAATATTCTAGTGTTTCTGTCTGATGTTATGTTTACATGTTGTTCTTAGTAAACCTTCAGATCTGCATCAATCTCCTCTTTTAATATGCTTTGCATGGCATGGTACCACAAAACATTCTCTCTAAGTTGGAAAATCATTTTTCTTCTTTGTACATAATTTAGTATTGGTCATGTATGCACTTTTTGTCTCTTATTACCTTTTATTATAATCAGGCTGGAATACTTTGCTCTATTTTACTGCTTGACAAAGTTATAAAAAGTAAAGGAAACATTTTCACACCACTGGTACATCATGCTAGATCCGTACTGAACAGATCTACTGACTCTCAACGAGTTATGAGGCAAACATCTCACCAGCTTCCTTTTTCTTCTCAGACATTTCCTGGTACCCATCTTAGGCTGGGTTAATCTGGTAGTCCAGGTCAGTTACAAAAATCCACTTTGATTTGAACCCGATACCTTCGAGCTCAAATCTACTAGCTATTTCAAAAACTACATGTCTGCCATTCAATTTGTGTGCACTTACAAAATGTAAAACGTAACTGAATGTCAAACAAAGGATATTCCATCATCTGTCGAAGTCTAGAAGAGCCAGGTGACTGGAGCGGAAGTCAATAATGGCTGTTCCATGGAATGCAATGTTTGTTACGACAACAACAATCTCACACAAACCAAACAGGCTGTAGACTGTGAAAGAAAGCAGGGTAGACAACTATGTTATCATAGCAAGCCTAACGACATTATACAACAAACAATTAATTTAATATAACATATCATTAACTCATAATTTCTTCTTGTTCTTAGCGTTCACCAGCTCTAAACTAGGGGGGAGGTAGGGAGGTAGGTAGTTGTACCCCACCAGGACATTACACAAGCGATAAACACCCGATGACACAAAGTGCCACCATGGGAATGAGAATCACCTGTGGAGAGGCCCCAGAAACCCCTTTCAGCCACTGGGCCATATCTATGGCTAGGCCATATTTTTTGGCCCAGCTATATACAGGGCCCCCGGCAAAAGCCAGGGTGGGGCTTCAAAATAACAAAACAATTTGGGGACAACTGTATAATGTAAATTACTAACTAGGGGGGAAAGTTCTAGCTGTTCATCTGATTCTGGACTTAAGTCTTATTCTGGAACTTGAATTTTGCATGCATATCCATTTTTACAGATCTGGCTTATTTGTATGCAGACTGTTGGTTCCTCATCTCTCAGGCAGATGCACTGCAACTTTGAAGAAAACAGCCCTTATAAGTAGACTTTCACAACATGCTTGTTGGGGGAAGTTTTGTGGCTTTATAGGGTAATTTTACACAGAGTAGTTTGCCATTTTTTCCTGAATGGTATGATCCTAAATTTTTATCACATCAAGTGGAGCAGTCTGCTACTTAACTTACTCTAACGTACTCAAAGAGTTAGTGAGGACAGAAATGATTGGAACTACGAGAGAAAGAAGGCTGTAGACAGACAGTGACCAATGCCACATGGCACAGACATTAACTATTTCTGTCCCAGGCAAGTGTTATAAATTCCCTAATGCTACGCATTTGTTACTTAAATGTCTTGACTGGATGGTCCTGAAGGGATTAAAATAATATTGCTTGCGACAAAAGTAGTTAAAGTAACAAGTGGAATAGAAAAGGTTAATGTTACAACTGAATGTACCACAAACAGTTAATAAAAATATGTAAAGTAAGAGAATATGATAAACACATGTGGCGCGGTGATTTATGTCACAGGCGTGAGGGGAAGTTAAGTCCAACATGATGTGTATAAGGAGATACTCCGTACGTCACTCGGGCGCCAGTCCTTTACTATCCTGGTTGTACGGAACCTCACGCAAGACCCCTACAGCACGTCCTCGTCGTGCGCCACGGATAATGTCTCAAATGAGCATTAACAGAGCTGTCAGGGGATCTCGGAGTTTGGCGGCCCCCAGAGGTGACGTGTCCTTGTGGCTCTCACCAGCCCGCCCCCAAACGCTTGGGTGAAAAAATGTTATCAAAACTCATTAGGAACATGAGTAGGTTCGACAAAAGTACAGCTAAAATCACAACCCTTGGTTAAAAGACTGCTGAGTAAAGAGAACATTGCTCAATGCTCATCCTCGGTTAATTCTCAGTGTCGTCGTCACCGCGCTGAGATGCAACACAACAGAAACCATACATGGGCTGGCCATCCTTGTGCATCCTCGGTTGGCCCTCAGTGTCGTCGTCACCGAGCTGAGGTGCACCACAACAGCAACCATCCATAGGCTGGCCAGTCACGTACATCCTCGGTTAACCCTCAGTGTCGTCGTCACCGCGCTGGGGTACACCACAACAGCAACCATCCATCGGATGGCTAAGCCTAAATGTCCGACAAAACTAGATCATACGGATCAAAATCTGACCATCAAAATTTGCACTGAAATGCAAAAGGCCGAATGTCCATACCCAAAGACCCCACTCGCCCGAGTGTTGGGACAAAACTGATAACGATATGCCTGATTCAGGATGTGAAATTCTGCCGGGCTAATGTACCTATCTGTGTGGTCACAAAAGTCCAAAACCAACGGGCTGCTCCCCGCTGACTTCCAGAGGGCGCAGCCCCTGTCGAGCGGGAGGCCTGATACGGTTGTGAGGTTAAGCAGGCATGTGCAGGACGTGACGATTCCTTGGGTGAGCCCAGAACCAGAGCGCCATGTGCCGGCTCTGCATGCATGGAAGCCTCCTTGGATGGCGGGGAATGCCCATGATCTGCCCCTGCCTTCCCTTGAGGGCCAACTGTTCCACAGGGGGTTGCCCCAAAGGGGTACTCCGGGGGCAATACCTGCGGCGAAGGAGACAAGGCGGACACCACACAAATCAGGCAGTCTCGACCCACACAAAACAATGGCCACAGTCACCCTAGAAATAGGCCTGACGTCTTCCTTCGAAGTCGGCGTACAGCTGCCCAAGAGGCAGGGAAATTAAAAACGGTTGTACACGCAAAAATCAGGTCCAGGTGAAGGCCAAAAGTCCAAGCGGACGATTAACTGGGACCTTCCACTGGAATTCACAGCCGGTGTTCGATGAAAAAAAAAAAAAAAAAAGATAAACACATGGTGAGGTCCTTGGTACTAAAATAATTAAGACAATGTAAGAAATTCCAGAACTTTACAAAATGTGAACAAAACAATAAACCAATAGTCTCCATAGTTGCCCTAAAGCAATAAGTATAAAATCGTGAAAAGAATGTGACATTGTGAAGAACTGTCCAAACAGAAATCAATTTTTCTCATTTTAGCACATGAATTTATATAGACAAGAAGCCACATGGCAAGCACAGTGACTTGTCAGCTGTGAACTTCTCGAAAACTTAAAAAAAAATAATACAAGCATATAATGGTAAGTTATAAATAGTATTTTGTCTTACAACACTTGCTACTAATGTCAAACTTAGTTCCCTATGGAAATCTCAAGTGGGAAAACTCCTCACATGTGAGTTGAAATTCTCAAGAAAGGTTACTGAAGAGGCTGAATGTGAAATGATGACATCAGAAATAAGACAGATGTGAAATAATGCATCAAATTCAACAAGAGATAGAAAATAAAGTGGTCTGGACTTGATCAGCCAACATAATAGCATACACCCAAACAAGATCTGAATACAGGATAAGATAAAGACCAAGGAAATTTTGAACTGGTAAACAAAATGAAGGCTGTACTAAATAAACACAAATAAATCTAAAATATGCAATACATATGACCTTAGAACACAGATTTAGACCCCTTTGCTTAAAGGCATATGGGAATTGGGGAAAAACATTATCTTACTGAGACTAGGCATTAGAAAAAAGCATAGAAATTTTTCAAATTACATTAGAATTAAGCCAGACAAAAAAAAAAAAAAAGCACATCAAAGTTATCATCAAAAAAGATTAAATCATGGTTTCAAATTATAATCTCAGTCAAGGTGAAAAAAATTTTTAATTGACCTGGGCTTCCAGATTGACTTAGCCTAAAATGGGTACTAGGAAATGCACTTGCAAGTAAAGGTTGATACTAACCATGTGTTTGGCAGCAAGGGTAGCATAAGGGCTAGATGCTCACCTGTCTGCCTTAAGGTCTGGGGTTCGAATCGACATCAAGACTGACTTTGTTTTTTTTTAAAGAGCTGTTTTATTTTGAGTCTATAACTGGCATAAAATAGTCCTTTATTAACTTTTTTTAAAATTTTTTTATTACAATGAGTCTGAAATGCTTCCTTTTTCTAATAGTCCATGCCATGTGGCATTGCCAGTCATCCATGTACTTTCAATCAATTCTGTCACAGGTGATCTTCCATGCCATGAGGCATTGCCAGTCATCCATGTACTTTCAATCAATTCTGTCACAGGTGATCTTCCATGCCAAACTATCCAGCATCTTCTCTCTGTGTCTCTCTGCCTCTTTTCCCCTCAAAATCTCCCATCCCCACAATGTACTCCCATTTTCTCTTTCTCATAACATGCCCAAAGAATGTATATTGGCTCCTTTTGATGCGGGCAACCAGTTTTCTTCATGAACCAGTTTCTTTCAAGACAACTTCATTACTCTTTCTATCTGTTCAGTGTATACTCATCATTCTTCTATAAAACCTTTTCAGCGTCACTCCTAAATAGTTTTTTCACTAATCGTCTAACTGTTATTGATTCACTTCTGAAATACCTAAAGGTAAGGAAATGCAACCTTTGAAAAAATATGTTTGATACATTTGTTTTTATACAAATAAAGAAAAAAAACAATGTATCTTACCTCCATCCTCACAATATGTATTGTGTCTGTGAAAGAAATATAGTGCAGCAGAGAAGAATACTACATTTGTCACAAACAGGATCAACTTGCATTTCAGGGAGAATTTCTCCTAAAAAGACAGAATAATGCATACAATGAATGTTAAGTTACAAGTAGGGCATTTTTCTAGTTTAGAAAAAAGGTGCCGGTACTGCGGTACTGCCCACAAAGTGTCTATTACAGTAGTATTTAAAAAATGTACACCTTAACCAAGTGCTGGTAATGTGTACTATTGTGTACCACTATTTTTAAAAAAATTAAGAAAGCTATGATCATAGACAGTCCAAATCAGATAATTTTAAAGTGGCTGAAATATTTTACTTCTGTTATTTCTTCAAACAACTCTTTTGTTTCATTGCTGGTGTCTCCAAAATCTGGCACTCCACTGCCCCTGTTTCAATGATATATATCTTATTCTTTTGTAAGGAGGGAACAAACAAGAAGTATCTAATTTTTAAATTTCTAGGCCACACAAGCATTTTATTAGCTTCAATTACATTTGTTTGTCCTCTCCCCATAACTTTAGATTGCATCGGGTCAGCGCAGTCGATAGAAGACTCACTTTCAAATCCAACTGCCGCTCACTGCAGCCCATGGCTGGTGTTAGAAATCGGGCAGTTACCAGGGTTCACCCAGCCTCTAGGTAATGAGTACCAGAGTTAACACTCTGGGGTAAATGGAGGAACATCGCTGTAGCTACGGAGTTGCGTATGGACGGCTACACAGGAGAACAAATTCTTATCAGCTGTCTGTACTGGTGGCAGAGAGCTTATGGTTTATAACCATTTGCAATGATGCTGGTTCACATCTTCGGACTTAACTTTTACCTTTGCACGCTCTTTAACAGTGCCCAATGTGTCTGTGTGGAAAACTAGAAGTTCGTGAAGAATGGAAGGTGCTTTTTGCAATATTATGAGTGAAACTACTGATTTGTGGTAACTGTTTCTTTTCAACAATGAACTGCAATTCTGCTGGTTAACTATTCGATTTGGCACTTCTGGCAGCTGCCTTAAGCATTCAATATGTGCGTATGCTGTTAGCTTTTCAGGAACTGCAGTCCATTTGTTTTTTTTCAAAAGACAATTATAGGCATTCTATGTGGTTTTCGTTGACACAGGAATGGAGCAATTATGGGGCGACCCATCTGTCGTGATGCTGGATCTGCAAATAACATCTAACGAAACACACTAAAATCTTTTAGTGTCATTCATGAAGCCGCAAAGGAAAGGACATAACAGATAACATATGTTCATGTTTTTGTGTGTGTGTGAGTAGGAAGCACAGGAAATGTGTACCTGCAACTCAGCACCTGAAAATACTGAGCATAAACTCCAACACTGTAAACTGTACACTGCTGATAGAAAAGCCACTTGGCTTACTCCCACCTCAAAAAAGACAAAGCTAAATGGTAAACATGGAGATCTGGACTGCATGGCAGCCTTATTCAATCCCACTGGCCTCCTTATATAGGTTTCTGACAGGAGAATTAAATAAAAAGAAGAACACGCTGGCTTCTATCATACACAGGTGTTATTTAACCCGTTAGTAAATGAGTTATTAGTCTATGTACTAATGTCCTAAAGTGTCTGCTAAACTCCATTAAACACAAGTATCTACTGCTTTCAACCATTTCATCCCATGAATGCCAATCAATGGACCTGTGAAAATGTTCGTAGAAACATCGCTTGAAATAAAAATATTACACAGCTCACTGACAAAAATTGTATTTTATTTTATCCCCATTTGTACATTTTTTGGGGGAGAACTATATTATATAAAGTGGTAATCAATAAATGAGAACAGAGTGAAGCATTACACTTTGGCAAAAACAGCTCTGTGGTAGACAGCGGATGGGAAAAGGAGATGTGGACGACCTAAAGAAACCTGGTGAAGGACAATAGAATGTAAAATGAAGGAATGTAAGCTGATATGGGATACCATCGGTAGAAAAGCAGCAGACCGGCAGCAATGGAGATCACTTGTGAATGCCTTATGTGTTAACAGTGACAATGAAGAGGATATAGAAAGAATCAAAAACAAGAACAGAGTGAAGCATTACATGGAATACATAATTATGGACCTAAAATATGTTTTTAAAAATACATTGAATAATTCATGCTGTGACCTCTATCACTGAGGTTCACTGAAAATGTTAAGATCAGCTTAGCTTTTAAAATGCTATTAGGGTCATAAGGAAACCCCCTAAATACAATTTTTAGTTTTTATATTCATATCCTGGCCTTTAAACACTGTGCCGGTGCACACAGTACCAAAGGAATTTAACTACACTTTTTGAGAAAAGGTCACTGCAGACATGGTAATTTATGTCACAACTGGAAGTGACTAGATTTATTGTTTTCTCTAGGTAGCAGGATTAAGATTAACTCTTTGGGATAAATTGGGTTAAAGTAATATCTGCTTGGTGCTGAATAAGTTAACTCCACGGCATACCTCACGAGACAAGGAGAACTGTATGGCTTTCTTCCCAAACCCGTGCAGCACACAAACGGACATCATGTGCAGGGTAGCAGATAGCATGAATATGGCAAAACAAACTTTGTGAACATCTGAAGACAGAAATGAAGCATGTTTTAAATCATGACACACATTAAATTTTTACACTTTAGATTAGTGTTCTTCAATCTGTAGTCCTTCTATCATACATAAACTACTATACAGAAACGTCCATGGCACTTTGGGAACAAGCAACAGAATCAGTAGAGAAACAAGATTATTATGACCTGGAGAGAATGAGGCACCTGGACGGGCATATAACGAGATTGTGACCGGTACCATCAGTGCTGGAACTCTGCACTGGCTGCTGAAGATGAGGACGAAGCACACATGGGAATGCCCAGAGTGCTGTAATGTCAATTCTTGAATCAACTCAACTCAAGAAAAGTCCAAGTGGGCCGCAAACATTTTTTTGCCTAAACATGTAATTGTGGGTAGGGTGGATAGTTTTTATCTTCAAGGATTTCAGTCTGTAGGATTAGCACATCAAGAATTAAAATGAAACAGGTACACAGCCCGCAAACCTTGTTCAACTGCACAGATTTTCTATTTCTATCCTCTGAGGGGCAGCAGATGTCGTATTCGCTTAAAACTGTAATTTTGTGACATCAAATTTAAGAAACTTTATGCTATATTTATTTTTGTTTCTGTGTTTGATTAACTGTCAGGTGGGTCCAGAAACAATCTGCCATGTTTTCTTCTTGTATGTTCACCGGCTGTGAATTCTGGTGGAAAATCCTGTTTGTTCGTCCATTGTAACTTTTGGCTTTGTGCCAGGACCTGAGTTTTGCTAGTACAACCATTTTATTGGCTTATTTTGTGTGCAGTTCTTATTCCCTGCCTTCAGGCAGATGTACTCCGACTTCAAAGGAAGATATCGATCCTATCTCTAGGATGACTGTGGCCATTCACTGCTTTCAGGGCTGCGGGTGTAAGAAGGCTGAGGAACACTGCTCCAGATAAGCCTCAGATAACATAGTTCCATAGCAGATACAGTAATTTCGATGCCAAGTATTAGGTCTTTACACATTCTAGGCTACAATTTATGAGTTACAGTGGCCATTTTTCCCTTTCTCATCATCTTTCTAGCCCAGACTATTCCTAGAGAAGATTCATGAAAGTATTTGGTACCCATTTATATCAGTTAGGGCTCCCCTCATCCCGTAAGTAAATTCAAGCAAAAGACCATATATATATATATATATATATATATATATATATATATATATATATATATATATATATATATATATATATATATATATATATATATATATATATATATATATATATATATATATATATATATATATATATATATATATATATATATATATATATATATATATATATATTGTATAGATCAATAGGCACTCGGTGGGTGATGTGGTCAACATCAAGCAGGCCACCTTTACATCCGAGGACTTTACCTGGTACCCATTTAAGATTGGGTCAACCTGGGAACCAAGGTCATTTAAAAAATTAAAAACAAATCACTTTAGATTTTAACCTTGACTTTCAAATACACATGCAAACATTTAGCCGATGCACCATGCAAGCTTCTACAGACCGGTACTGGTCAGAACAAAACCGTGCCATTTATGGGAATTAAACCCAGAATACTGCCTTGACAAATAAATGAACTCTATCTTCTATACCACCAAGACAAAGAAACAAACTAAAGCAAAGATGTAGTTCCAACAGAAGTTAACATATCTTTACTTCCTAGAATATTTCCTGGTTCACATTTTGGGCTTGGTCGACCAGGAAGCCAAGTTTATGAGTTATCAGTTAAGAAATGACATCACAGTACTCAGGAAATTCCCATAAGTGTTCCATTCTCGTCTTCAACAGCAGAGCACAAAGTTCCAGTAGTACTGAAGCTAAGTTTAACTATGCAAAAACCTGTCTCAATGCAAATTGGAAGCTATAACTGTCCAACCATTGAACTATCACTAGTCTTTATTTGAAATACTAAGTGTACATGGACTGCCCCTGTGAAATGAGTGTACTCATGCTTTATTCATTATGGTTATTGTCCCTTTTGGCATATTCTGTGAAACTGTTTGGGACTGCATTTGAAAATAAATGCCTATGGAAGCCGATGAATGGGATGAAATTCAGACAGGTGAAGAAATAATAGAAATGTCTGGACAACCACTTTTATCAGCAGTTTTAGTAACTGAAGATAGCAATATATTTAGTGCAACCTGAAGAGAAGCAATGGAAACAAGTGAACTGCGGAGATGAGAACATCCTAGAGAAACCCTGAGTCAAATGTTGTTGAGAGAGGCCAAAGGTGCCGGACTAGACTTCATCCATGATATTGACAAGACTGCCTGGGATATGATCGAATAATGATGTGGAGTCAAGGCAACTGTAGTAATGTAAAACTGTATGTGTGCACTTAACATCTTTCCCTTGGCCTCCTCCTAGCTTTCTATTCAAAGCCTTGTGTTTTGTTTAGTTACTTCAAGGCAACTGCAGTAAGACAAAGTAACAATGCAATTCAAATTTTAAAAAAATATATTTAGTACAAACAAAACAATTACCATAATCTTCTGTTGATGACACAAAGCTGAGACCTACCAATGCCAGAATTTCAACCACATGTAAGAAATATGCCAAACTGGACAGATGGCTGTATGTCTGCAAGCTCTTGTTTCCAAGAAACATCATTTTGTGCATACTGTGGTAGCCTGCTGCTATCAGAAACCTTGGTGTGGCATGTAATGCAATCAATATTCTCCATATATACTTCTGTGGTGCCAGCTGGCCTGTTGCCACACTGATAGAGGGCATGAAATTCCATACCTGTGTAAGAACAATTTAAATACTTGGTAATGTAAAAAAGAAAGGTAGGTAGGTAAGTTGTACCCCACCAGGACATCATACAAGTGATAAACACCCGGTGAAACAAAAAGCCACCATGCAGATGAGGATCACCCATGGAGAGGTCCCAGAAACCCAGTTCAGCCGTTAGGCCATATTTAAGGCCTGGCTATATATAGGGCCCCTGGCAAAAGTGAGGGTGGGGCTTCAAAATAGCTAAAAACTGCATCCCACATGGGGACAATGCTTCTATTTTTTTTTTAAAAAGTGACTGGCTGTGTTTAACCTCAGGGCTACCATCTGAAGGTTTGACACATCTGTGATTTAACCCTTTAACTACCACAGGACACATGTGACCTATTAAATTCCATAAAACAGATAATTTTTCAGATGTAGTGATGTTGGATTATGTTAAATTCTTCTTCTTGTCTTCTTCTGCCTTGTAACTCCTAATTTAGCAAAGCCTCTCAACCACTATCTAGTTCTCTTCTCAGTATGTTTTTTGGTCAGCCTTTGTTTCTATGCCCCTGAGGTTTCCAGTGTACACACATTATAGTTACTTTATTCTCAGGTTTTCTTACAGTTACCTATCTAAGGTTAATGTTCAAGAGATAACTAATAAAATAGCTGAACTCATTCAGTCTCTGGCTGTTGCTATCACAGCACAATCTTTTCAAGCAGATGATACTTTAACTAAAAGTTGGCTCTAAACACAAGATACAATAATAACAGCATTGACTATGATGAGTTAAAGTAATCTGTGTGATAGAGTGGGTTAATATAACAACTAGAAGGAACATACAGATTTTTAAAAAAAACATAATGTACAGAATTACCAATAAATGAATAGTCAACTGGTTTCCAATTGCATACTGAATGTTAAATCTTTAATTAAGAACCAACTTCACAGCACTCAGGACATTCCTACAGGTGCTCCATCCCCATCTTCAGCAGCAAGCAAAAAGTTCCTATTCTGATGGCACCAGTAAGTGTCTGATTGTATATCCATCTCCCCTTTTCCCTGAGTCTTTAGTGCTGGCCTGAAAGAGAGTGATCAGGTGCCTCACAATCTGCAGGTGCCTCATAATTGCCTACTTTTTTTTTAATTCACAAATACAATTCATTAGCAATATTACAACTCTTCTTGTGTCTAATGAAAACAAATTGCTCAGGATAAAGATAATTTTCACAGCTCAAGAGAATAAAACTAGACTGAAAGCAACTATGTCTGCACTTAGCGTTATGTATATAACTATGTCTGCACTTAGCGTTATGTGTATAACTATGTCTGCCCTTAGCGTTATGTGTACAACTATGTCTGCACTTAGCATTATCTATATAACTATGTCTGCAATTAGCGTTATGTGTACAATTATGTCTGCACTTAGCGTTATGTGTATAAACAAGTGACATGTTACTCAGCATATTTTTTTATGACAAAATCAATGAATGCTGCATTTCGAACAGAAAAAAAAAAAGCATTCTCATTGTAACTCAGAGCTCCCTGTATGGGTTCTGAAGCCCCATTTTGGGAAACAAATGGATACACTAACTGCTACCCTAACAATTATGTTGTAACTGTTGACTAATTACAGGTATTTCTTTCAAAGTTGGAGTGAATCTGCCTGAGAGGTGAGGAACCAACAGTCTGCATACAAGTAAGCAAGATTTGTAAAATGGATTTTCATGCAGAACTCAAGTTACGGAACAAGAATTAAGTCCAGAAGTGGATGAACAACCAGAACTTTCCACCAGAGTTTACAGCTGGTGAATGCAGAGAAAAAAAAGTAACTCAGAGCCAGAGATTGAACTAAGTCATCAGCCTTCAAGTCCAAGTCGAGTCCCAAGTTACTGCCCCATGTCTCAAGCCAAAGTCACAAATCACCAAAAATGCTTGCAAGATGAGTCCCAAGTCAGGTCACTTCATATATCAAGTCATTTGCAAGTTGTGCATTGGACAATGCTGTGCAAAAGTTTTGAAAATATAAAAATAAGAGATGTCAGTGCAAAAAATTCATTGAACTATATACAAAAGCGGAAGAAATTGAATGTGAAAGTTTGACAAATTCAAAGACAATTCATTCTGTCCTGTTTTATATCAAGACGCTTTAACTCTACCAGACCACTGTGCCGTTTTCCCGGTAATTTCATAATCTGCTGCTAAACCGATGTAACTAATTTTTGGTACTTTGTGTACTACGTGAAAAAATGTGTCAAAAATACAAATAGCCAACCAATCGGGGTCAAACCTCGTGGTTATTCATTGCAGATGTCCATGTGTTTGGATTGACTTTGTGTGGTTTAATTTGACAAAATTCTGAAAAATCACAATGAAATGAGCGGCTGATAAACCAAGCACTTCAACAGTAAAGTGAAGTAGCTCTAGGCTGTTCACAGTCAAACACGTGATCGATACTTTGGTTGTTTCAGTCTCTGAGGAGTCAGAAGAATTTCAACAAGAATACGTTTCCAGTTCAAGTGACACAGACTGTGAGAACTCAAGTGATGAGGAGAATCTTGAACCTTATAGATCTAGAACTGGATCAATAGTAAGAGAGGGAGGGGGGGTGGGGAGGAAAGGGAGGTGTGTCCCTCAAACAGCTGATGGGGGAGATCTAGGTGGTGATGAAAGTTGGACAAGGAATTTTGTATCACCAAATACAGATCTGAATTTCAATGATAAAAGGTAAACCTGTTTACTACAATGTCTCTAAGTTTCATCTTATTCTAACCACTTGTTTGCATGTAACTAATATTTGTGTATATCATGGTGGTTTTTTCACTGTAATGACCAGGAGGCCAGGTATAGGAGGCAGTTAGGTTCAGGGCCTCAGGTCTTCAAAGTGGCAGGTCACAAAGAAAGAGCTGCACCAAGTCCTTGAAACCACGAGTCACAAATTAGGTAACAAGTTGCTGTACAAAACCTCGAGGCAGGTTGCAAGTTGTTAATTATGCGACTTCATTTGCACTTGAGTCTAAGTCACGCCAATCAAGTTCCGACCACTTCTTAGAGCCTTATAGCCTATAGGATTATATAATATAGTTTGTGTGATTTGCAAATATATTCTTTATTATTACTTTTACGTAAAATTAACCCACAATATATTTCCACTACCATTATCATTATATTTGAAAGGTGGGCTCTCCTTTCAACTACGGCCGGTAGACAACAGTAGACGGCCGGTTAGTCGGAGTTCTGTCCCCTGGCTGCAGTGCTATTACGGACTGGACAGGAAGAAATGAAACAAATGACATAATTACTGCGTGTTGGCGATAGACAGCGTGCACTGCCCTGCTATAATCATGCGGTTAGGGTTTGGGTTAGGGGTAGGGTTTGGGTTAGGGTTTGGGTTAGGGGTAGGGTTTGGGTTAGGGTTTGGGTTAGGGGTAGGGTTTGGGTTAGGGTTTGGGTTAGGGGTAGGGTTTGGGTTAGGGGTAGGGTTATGGTGTGGGTTAGGGTTACGGTTAGTGTCGCCGCATCTCGTCTTTGCACAAACTCAAAGTAGCAGATCAAAACCCTAACCCTAAACCTAACCCAAACCCTACCCCTAACCCAAACCCTACCCCTAACCCTAACCCAAACCCTAACGGTATGATGACAGTAGGGCTCTGCATGGTCTATCACCAACACACAGTAATTATGTCACTTGTTTCGTTCCCTCTAATCCACTCCGTAATGCGTCGCAAGAAGCGGTAATTGAACGCGGTGGCTAATTTGAATCGCAGCGCGGGGTCTGGCACTCACTTTGACCTCACTTTGTTTTCTGATTTGTGCCTTCTCCAGTCCATAATTGCACTGCAGCCAGGGGACAGAACTCCGACTAACCGGCCGTCTACTGTTGTCGACCAGCCGTAGTTGAAAGGAGAGCCGAAAGGTGAATTATTTTTAAAGTTTTCTGAGATTAGCTGGTGTAAGGGCCTCAGAGCTTATATGTCATTGGGCCTCATTAAATCTAAATCCGGCCCTGTTTCTTGTTATGCTTTACTTTCAGGAGAAGCGCTGGTGGTTAAGAATAGACACTTCTGCTATTATTACGGGCGTTATATAAAGTTACAACTAAACAATTTATTTTCCACAATCTATAACAACATATGTTTCAGAAACTTACTTCATCTGCGCTCCCACAATTTGTGACCGTACACTGATTAAAATAAAACAAGAGACAGACGAGCTCGCACAAGACCAGTCCGGCCAGTGGCAGCAGACAACTTGTTGCCACCAGGACAGGAAAGTACAGTTCAAACAGTGCTTGATTCTTCAATGACCCTATCATCATCACGTAAAATTATCATGACTCAACAGAATTAACTATGTCTTTAATAGAAAGAAAAAAATTAGCGCTTTATAAAAACGTTCCAGTATTTATTAAATGTTACAGTTTGCCTAAAGAATCGTTAGATGCGAGCAAACTGACATTACGACAGTTTGCTTTGAGTTAAGCCCGTCTCCTACTTCTGTTTTTTAGAAAGCCAAGCACTATAAAAATTGTAACTAAATAAAATGTGACCGTTTTAGCAGACTACGTTTTAAGTCTCTACAATACTAAGGTTTGTAGTAGAAATTACATCACATAGAAGATCCTGGCTACAGTTTATTTCAACACCAGACGATACTCAGTGTTGATTATGTGGGTACCAGCATATTTGGTCATTGAAGGAAATGAAAGGGCATACTTCTGTATCTTCTTCTTTTGTCTAACTTCTTATGCCGTAAATCGTCGCCGAGAGAGGAGTTACAGTTTCTTGACTCGTGCTAGTTGCCTTCTTGGGATAACCCATTTTTTCTTGGTCGGCCTCTTGCCTTGTAGCCAGCTGTTCTCGTGTAGTTCGCCAGAACTGCTGGCTGATTTTGTTTAATTCTTACCCAGATGACCTGTTTGATTTTTTGATGTTCTATGAAATCGTGCACAGGTACTGAAGACACACAGGGCAGACATAGAAGCAAAAAATGGGGAGGGGGCAAATAATAGATATAACTATAAGTGAGGATGATTTTAACTTAGTAATTTAACAAAACAACAGAAGAATTGACCGGGGTGTTGAATGGAAGCTTAAAGGGAAAGAATGCCTACAGACTGTTCAAACAAAGCTCTAACTAGAGAATGTCAAAAAACAAGTGAACTAAAAATCGCTTGCAATAAGAAATTTTTAAGACTGCAATTTAGCGCGCCTTATTTCACTATAGCAGAACAACCTGCTCTGTACGTTAGGTTCATAACGATATAGGACATTATTTACTATACTGCAAGAAGTCGCCGTGTGTTTCCTAAAAAGTCGCCTTTCGGTGTAGGAAATACGGAGACTTGTCCCTGCAGCGTGGCACCCGAAAATGCTGAGCATGTGCTCCAACACTGTCAACTGTATGCTGACAACAGAGACGCATTCTGGCCTGTTCCAACCACACTGAAGACAAAACTGTATGGTACACAAGAGGATATGGATTACACGATAGCTTTCATAAAGGCTACTGGCCTCCTGATATAAGTTTTCTGACAGAAGGATCGAAGAAGAAGAAGAAGAAGAAGAAGACATATATAATTTCTATGCTCCGCCGCCAAGCCAACCAATACCCCCTAGTTTTCTTCATTCATAACACCCAAAACAGCCACAGACCCACCCACCCCTGCTCACTGGCACCCTTAAAAAAAACCTTGGATCCTCTGCTCCACCTGCCCTACCACTCACGACACATAGCCACAATCGCTCCCGAACAGTAGCTGACCTGAGCCTCGACCTAGCCGAAAGGTGACCTCAAATCAGTGGAGCCTCTCTGATCTCGAGTCACTTGACCCGAGCCTCGACCCAGCTGCCAGGCCGGGAGGAGTAACACGTTTTTTCCTTTATTTCTTTGGTGGAGGTGGTTTAACAAAGGTTATAGAGCGAGCATCCATCTCAAAATCGGAGATTTCCTAAATGTATGCTACTAACTACACTGTTGATAATGACCGTATCATTTATTTTTTTTATTGACTTCGTCTGTGTTTGCGCTTAAACGTGCGTTTGACACGATGTGTTGTAGTTTACAGCTAGGCTGCGAGATGTGCGCGTGTCATCCCAACACATCCAGTTTTAGCTTTGAATAGTCGCCTTCCTTGGCTACGTAACATTGACTATAGCTGTGGTTACCCGAACAGTATCTACACTGTTTTTTCTTTTCTACACGATGAAGTCCCAGTTTTTCTATAAAATATTGGTCTACTGACTGTGTGCAACTCCATAAACTGTGGCATATACTGAGTGGCATGGGATTTCCAAAACATCTGGTGCACTTAATGGAATCTCTTTACCATGAACAACAAGCAGCCGTCAGAGAAGCTGGTGAAACAGAATGGTTTGAAGTGCAGAAAGGAGCGAGACAGGGCTGCATTTTTTCTCCCTCCCCTTTAACATTTATGCTGTAAATTTAATGAGAAAAGCAGTTAGCGATGAGGCATGTGAGAGCTTTGATCCACACAAAAATGGAGGTAATCCTATTCCAGAACTCAGATATGCAGACGACACTGTTCTTCTTTCCAATAGTGTACAAGGTTTAGAAAATTAATTATGGCCGTCAAAAAAGCACAGCGAAGCAGTGAATCTTCTACTAAATAAAAAAAATAAAAAAAAAAGGAAATGCAGCACACTAACCATATATCACAATCGAAAAAAGAAGAAAAATAAAATGTAACAGATTTCGAATACTCGGTTCTTTAGTGAATAGTGGCGACTGCTTGAAAGAAGTCAGAAGAAGACCTTCATTAGCAATGCAGAGATTGAACAGCATGACAAACCTACGGAAAAGCGCTAGTAAATTGGTTAAAGTAAAAATCTTGAGATCATGCATTTTTTCTGTGGCAACTTACGGTTGTGAGTCTTGGACTCTCACTCAGTCGCAGAGGAAAAAGATTGGAGCTTTTGAATTGAAATCTTTGAGAAAAATTCTTAGAATACCATGGATCAAGAAAAGAAAAAACGTAGACATTCTAAACAAGTTGAACATCAAGGAGAACTGGCTCGTAAACAGCATCCTGTCCCGAAAGTTGAAGTATTTTGGCCACATCAAGCGCCAGGGTGGCTTGGAAAAGACGGTGATGGAGGGTGCAGTTTGTGGAAGGCGAAGCAGGGTCGACCACAGCGAAGATGGATACAGGACATTAAAGAAGCATTGGCAATGAAAGCACATGTCGCCGGAGAGCAGGGATAGTGATACTTTCCGGCGTGCCGTGAAGAAAGCAACGTTCTGTAAAGGTCTAGGTGTAGCCATGTAGTTAGGTCAACGTCATGTAACTGGCGATACAAATATTCATTGTTTGGGTACTGGTGAGATATTCTAGTATCTCTGCGCAGAAGAACCCCTGTCTTTTCTGTACTTTCCTGTTTTTGTTGTTTAGCGGGGAACCATTACATTTTGTCCTAATCACAATTTTCCTTTTTATCTCCCCTACGTCTGTGTTTTTCCTCTTCTTTATTCCCGCTAGCACAAATGGCCTTTTAGCGGGGAACAATTACATTTTGTCCTAATCACAATTTTCCTTTTTTTCTCCCCTACGTCTGTGTTTTTCCTCTTCTTTATTCCCGCTAGCACAAAAAGCTGTTTATGTCTCCTCTTGGTTTTAAACCAGATTAAATGCCCGGCTCTCTAGCGGAATTGGCTAAACCGGATTTCGCGGAGACCGGGTGACGTACTCCTTGTGGTCCGGGTTCAATCCCGGGGGTAGGCAGGAAAGCCACATTTTCTCCCAGATTTACGGTATTTACAATGGAATCAAGGCCGAAAGGTTGCGATATCCATAATACCGAGCCTAAGGGTTAACAACTCATGGCTTCTGGATACTAAAACAAACAAAACAAACCAGATTAAATCAAGATCTTCAAGCTGCTGAAACTTCCAGCCTATTACACTAACTTAGCCCTGTAAGGTTATGAATAAAAGTTAGGGACGTTTTCTCTTCTTTTTCCACTTGAATGTTTGAACCAGGCAAACATTAATGCTTTCTTCACTGCAGTAGTATTAGTAATATGTGTTCTCTCACAAACACCACAAAGAAGTTAAGACCATGTTTTCTTCAATAACTCACACAGTTAGCATCCAACTACGAAGATCTTTTCTGACAACCTGCATTTATTAGTGTTTTCTTCTTCAGTATTCCGTGCCTTTGAGGTTCATTGCTGCAGATATCATCCGCATCCCTTCATCTCTCTGGTTGGCCTTCTCTTTCTAGTTGGTGACACGAAGTGTTTGTAGGTGTCTGTGGATATTGTATCTCCATCATCTTCTTGGTCTGCCTCGTGTTCTACGATCATTCAGCTCCCTTGTGTATAGCTTTTACCTGTCATCTGACATTCTTTCAATCATGTTGACCACATCGTCCGCAGAGTGCCGACTGGCCTGTAAAATATACCTCCAGCACAATATATGCCTGAATGCGAGGAAGAGGGTCCTTGATGTATCGTTGATCAACATGTCTGACCGTAGCTTGTGTTCCATGTACATTCTCCATACAGATGTTGTTCTTTGTATATTACCCCATTACGCCAGACGTCAAGGTGGCCTGAAGAAAACGGTGATGGAAGATATAGTGTAAAAAAAACGAGGCAGAGGCAGACCTTCATATATGTGGATACAAGACATTGAAGACGCACTGGGCTATAAAAGCACAGGACTAGAGAAGGAGAGACTTTATGTGTGCAGTCACAACAGCGACATTCTCTACAGCATCTGCTGATTACTGATGATGATGCCAAACTAACATTTTCTTTTCGAGTCTCTCCTTGCCTCTCTTCTAGCTGCCGTGGTTTAGCGGCTAGGCGCTTAGCTTGCGGATCGGAAGGTCGTGGGTTCGGTTCCTGGCGGAGCTCGACCCCCCCCCCCCCTAAATGACCTTGACATCCAGGTCGACCTAGCTTTGGGTGTGTACTAGATAGGCCTAGGAAGTAAAAGCGGCCAGCGTGATGCTGACCACAGCACTTACCAAGTGCTGTAACCATGTTAGTGGTGTATATAAATATAGGTCTAGCCCTATGTACCCAATACGCCTGAAAGGTGTGGAGAAAAAAGTCCTTTACTTTACCTCTCTTCACTGCAACTTTATTATTTCCACCATGTACCCGTCTCTGCCCCCCCCCCCCCCCCCCTTTTTTTTTTACAGCCCAGATGATGTAGATTATATTCTGAAAGTTTGCTTCATGCTCAGAGCGTAGTGGGTCGTTTCAAGCTGTTTCGTTTGTTTCACGGTAGCAATTTTTAGATATTCATGGGAACTGTCACCATATCTACGGAGTCCGTGCTTTGTGTGAT